GGCTGGACATGCTATTGGATCTGGCACTGTCAGTGGAGGCATAGATGGACTCAATGGTGTGGAGCATCTTTTATCAGCTTAGGTGGCTATGCCAAACACATCCTTATCTGGACAAGGATAGCCAAGCTACATTTAGGCACAATTAAACTGTAAGCTCTTGATTGGATTCTTGCAATATGTTAGCCATGGGGCTGCATTTGAAAGCAGTCCAGAAACTCCAGCTGGCCATAAAGAGGACAGTGAGATTGTTAATGGGGACTGGATAGTGTGGTCCTATGAAGCCAGTATGTTAGCTTCCAGGCCATGTTGAGGCCCTATTCAAAGTGCCGTACTAGCAAGCTCTAAATGGCTTGGGGCCAGCTTTTGAAGGGTTGTCTCCTCCCATATATACCTGCCCAGACCCTAAGATCATCCTCAGCAGACCTGCCATGGAACCCCTGCCCTGTGGAATTTAGCCAGTCCTTTCCAGTGTGGTGGCCTGGCTATAGATAGGAACTTTCCTGAGATGCTTTTCCACCTGCATTGTACCCTTTCTGAGACCAGGTGAAGACCTCATTTCCCCAGAAATTTTAGGTTCAGTCTCAGTTTTAAATCCCTTATTGAATTTTAAATCTTGTGCTGCTCTTAGCTTTTACTCTGGATTTGACTCCTATTTTATGCTGTAATGTTACACATTTATACTGTATGTTAGTGTTGCATTTCTATGGTGTGAATGTTTTGCACAGGGGAGTGGTCAAAAATAGTGCCCGCCACTTAGAACCTGAGGCGGCATAGTCCTAACATGTGACGGTCAGCTATGTCATATGTAGAGGGCATGAGGTTGGGGAGGCTGCTCTCCTGCCTAGTTCTGCTATACAGCTAGGCCGGACCAGTCAGTACTGGGTCTCAGGAATGGAAAGGTGATGAAAAAGAGGCTTGCAAGTAAACTTAGCACGTAACGATAAGAAGGTTTTGTAGTTCTCTGGCTCAGCAAATGAAGCAGTAATGCAGCCTTCCCCAAGTTGGCCTCCAGGTGATTTGAACTACACTGCCCCAAATTCCTGACCACTGGCCATGCTTGCTGAGGTTGATGGAAGCTGAAATCCAGAATATCTGAAGGGCAACATGCTGGGGGAGCCTGCACCTAATGGAAAAGGTTGGTGTGGGCTGATTGTGCATAACTAGGTCAACTGAAAGCTGCTACAGGTATGAAGAGAGTGTTATGTTAGGTAATGACCTATAAAGCCCTAAATGGCTTGGGTCCTGGTTACCTGAAGGAGTGCTTACATCCATATATGCCCAGCCGCCCCTTGAGATCGGCGGGGGAGGCCCTTCTCCGGGAACCCTCCGTGAAAGAAATTAGGAGGGTGGCTACTCGGAGGAGGGCTTTCTCCACGGTGGTGCCTAAGTTATGGAATGCGCTCCCCAGAGAGGTCTGCCTGGCGCCGTCGTTATTTGCTTTTCGACGCCAGGCGAAGACCTTTTTATTTAAGCGGCATTTTAACTGTTAGTATTATTTGATCTTATCTGGCCAGGGCGGCTTATTTTATACTGTATTTTTTGGATTTTTAATGTTTATATTTATTGTAATTTATTGTTGTAAGCCGCCCCGAGGCTTCGGCGAATGGGGCGACATAAAAATGTTTTAATAAATAAAAAAAATAAAATAAGTGAGACCACGATTCTCCATCCAGGCCCTCAAGGCTGTGATGGACCCACTGTGGTTCCCTTGCTTGGTCTGCTGACTTGGTGAAATGTGACTGCAGAATTTTTGGTGCCGGCCACGCACACATAGGAGGAAGCAAACCTTAAACTGAAATATTGCTGATATTATTCAACATCTCACATCCACTGTGATCTGTTAAAGAACACAAGGGGGCAAATTTCCTCATAATTAAAGGCAGTTAAATCCAGTTTGGGGGATTATTTCAGGACAGCTTTTTGGGATGCTCCATGGTTTGTGCAGCTGCTCCCAAGGTGGCATTTGGTGGGAACTTTCCAATGGGCAGGAAGAATAGCTAGAAGAAGTCACTCCATTGAAAGAAGGAGGATCAAGCACACACATTAGAAGTCCAAGCAGCAGGCACAGTGTGAGGCCTCCCTTAAATTTAACACACTGACTTAATTAGGCAGCAGTTCATTAGCCCAGCCAGAGCCTGATCTCTGTTGCAGACAACAACTTTTTCAATTTGGTGTTTACCTTGATCTTTTGGACTGAATGGCTTCCTTGACCTTCAGCTCTCCCCTTGGGCCATTCTCTTTTGGGCACCCCTTCCTGACCTGGATGCCTGGCACAGCACATTCTATGACCTCTGTGCATTTTGTGACCACTGGGGTGGCCAATAGCCTAGGCTTGGCATTCGGGGACATGCGAACAGGGAAAACAAGAACTTTAATCTACAAGATGCTGCTGTGCTGCCATTGGTTTGCATCTTTGCCCTCCATTTGCCACTGGACCTACCTGCCCTGCATTCATCCATGCCACCACTGCAATGCCGTCTCCAAGATCTCTTCCTTAACTGAATGTACCCACTGCAAGAGTTCCATACCCCTTTGGCCAACGTAGTGTTTTCCTAGGCAGCATTGAGCTGATGGCTCTTCTGCATCAGTGTTGCCCAACCTGGTACCCTTCAAAGTTTTTTGCATGGGGCCCAACAACCATTGGCCCCAGCCAGGGCTGGTGGGCTTTTTAGCTTGAGACATCTGGGGTACCAGGTTAGGAAAGTTTCTTCTACATCCACCAGATCTCCTTGAGCTTCCCTAGGTCTCTGCTAAACATACATCTCAAGATGATGGATCACATGAGCAGGAGTCTTCCTTTGCATAGTAGCATAATTTTATCCACTAGGACCCTGTAGGCAAAAGCCCTGGGGGCTGGGTTGCTGTGTTTACCTTTAAGAATTAATGGTAGAAATTGCAGGATGAAAGCCTTGTCCATCAGCGGATTTATACCTTTATGTGCTATTTGTTTTCTTTTGTGGCTGCCTTTTGTTTTGTTTTGCTTGGCTTTTGTTCTGGGTTGCTAAGAATCCAGGAATCGGGCCAACCCTTCATTATACAGATTGTTTCTTTTCGGAGCTGAAGGAGTTTGCTTTTGCTGAAGGTATTCGACTGCAGAAGAAAATAACCCACTGGACACCAGAAGATGTATTTTGTTTTAAGTGACCAAAACATCTGAAAAAGCAGTGAAAGGGAATATAAAGGGGTCATCTCTAGAAAAAAAAAGCAAGCTGTTTAAAGCATAGCATCCAGATAGAATGATCTGGGAAAGTCTGACGTGGCACTTATCTTGCCTTGCAGAGTGATATTGGCCAGGATGGTCTCTGAGTGCCTTTAAAACCTGCCACTCGGTCTGGCTCTTAGTATTGCCCACATCTTCAAACTTCATCTCTTCATTCAACAGCTCAGAGGCAGAAGTATGTGCAACAGCAGAACCACCTGCTTTTGAGCCCCAGTGGTCCAACTGTATTTGCCTATTTGAGCTGCCTTTTTGGAGGTGTCCTGCTTTCTCCATCTGGCAGAAACTCCAGAGGATTCACGGGACTGATGGAGCAAGGAGGGAAACACATGGCCTAGCTATGGATTGTGGTTACACGGACAAGTTGTGGTGAACCCTGGGTTCACATGCTCTCTCATCTTCTTCCCTTTAGTGCGCAAGGAGATGGGAAGTTTCACAGTGCAATGAGCCAGATTTACCAGTTACATCTAAGAAAAGGGAAAGCATGATTTATGCAAACCACAGTTTGTTCACAAGCACAGTATCCTAGCTAATGAACAAAGGTGGTCTGTACGAATCAGTTTTGAGTGTGTGGGTGTCAGGACCAAAAGTGCCCTTTGTCACAAACCAGGAACAGAATTCCCTTGCCTCCTTTCCTGAGGCACAGAGAAAGGGGCAAAGGGGTTGTGGAAGCCCACGGACTTGTGCAGAACTGCAAACTTTGCTTTGTCTTATAGGTGCACTGAACTATTGCCTCTAGTCTCCTAAGGTGTCAGGCAGGTCGTTCTGGGTCACAAGAGTACCCCGCCCCTAGACTTGGAGCCCTTGAACCTGCCACAGCCTCATCTTTATTTATTTTAATTGCTTGACTAGATCTGTTTCATGGGATGTTTCTTATAATCATGAAGGCACACAAATAAGAATACGCAAAGGGAAGTGTAAGAGGAATTTTTTTCTCTTGTTCGAGGACAGTGGAAAGTGTCAGAAGCCATTTCTTATTCTTTTAGAATTAGGAATCGAATCTTGTGAGGGCAAAGTAAGTGAGCTACCACTTGCAACAGGAAAGTGGAGCAGATTCTTTTTCCCCAAATGAAACATTTTCCAGTGCTTTGTTTTTCACAGACATTTTCCCATGTCATAATTACATTAGCAAAAACTAATTTGTGTCACACATATGCTATTAGGCAAGTTTAGAAGTTTCAAAGTTGTAATTAATGCCTGTCAGACAACCACATTAGCAATTGTGTGAAAGAACGCATATATGTTATCGAAATACCTCTGTGCCTCAGAATGTGATGGAACTAATAAATACTGACAACAAAACCAAAGGTGCTTAGTGGAAAAGAGTTGAATTCTGTTGAAATGAATGAGTGGTTGCATTGCATCATGCACAGTTCTTTGGGTTGCTAAAATGGATTAATGTGTCAACAGTTTTCTGTGCTTTTCCATGTTTTTCTTAAATGTACACAATGTAAGGCAAGCACATGCTATTGTTTTTAAGTTGTTTGCAAGTCTTCCAATGAAATTTCCTACATAATACAACCTTTAAATCTAATTACATGTGCTTAATTTTTGCTCACACAGATTTTAGGTCAAATCTTTGTGGTGTATTGGGACAAAGAAATAGCATGGGGTATGTTTTGTTTTGTTTTGTTTAGAAAATACAAGCAAATTAAACATGCTAAATTAAATCTCTCTAGGGATTTTGTGAAAAACTGATCACTAAGTTGCACTAGCCTAAGCCTCTTGGAAGAAGGGCGGAATGCAAATGAAATACATGAACTTTTTTTGTTTATTTCTGCAGTCTTTATATGGTGGTGCAGTTCCTGCTATACCCCAGTTGCCCCTTTTCTACACACCTATCGACTTAATAGACATCAGCACAGAAGTGGCTGGGCTCAGGTTTCCGAACCCCTTTGGCCTCGCCAGCGCGACTCCGGCTACAAGTTCGCCAATGATCCGCAGAGCCTTTGAGGCAGGATGGGGATTTGCAGTTACCAAAACATTTGCTCTGGACAAGGTAATGAACACCGAGTGTTATGTGTGTGTCTAAAATAAGCTTGCAATGTTGCTAACCAGGATCTGAAAAATGCAGATTTTGAAGACTGAATTGAACGTTTAAACTTGTGTGATTTCTACATTTCATTTGAGATGTCCGTTTTCCAGGAATTAAATGTCAAATTAGGGCCGAAGTTGATTTAGCCTTATCTGGGCTTGTGCGCTCTCTCTCCCCCCCCCCCCCCCCCCCCCCACACACACACACACACACGAGCTTCTCAGTGAAGTATATCTCCATCACCTCCATACTGTCAACTGGAATCTGATCCTGGTAGGGGCTAAATTGTAATGAAGCTTCAGAGCTTGCAGAACACATCAAACTGGAGTCAATAGGATATGCTCAAGCGGAAACTTTTCACTATGGATATAATGTAGTGAGAATTCTAGAAATTCTAGTCCACTGCAAACAAAGTAGACCTCTCATTGCCCATGTTACTGTGTCATAAATATACAAGGATGAGTTGCAGCAAGCTTTAGCTTGACTTTCTGCTGAACCACATTTTTCTGGTCATCTGCAGCTGGAATTGTGTTTAACTAAAGATGATTTCAACAAGCCAGCTTCCATAACGTGGTTTGGAGATTACATTTTGAAACTGCCATAGCTAGTGTTAACCACAATTGGTCATGGAGGCCTTTTTTCTGTCCCACAGCAGGAGGGGATCATGGAGCCAGAGTACACTACAGCTTATTCTTTCTCACACATGTCATGCTAAGCCACAGTGTAACATGATTTGTGAATGCACTCATTGGCCATCTTCCTGCTATTTTCCTGAAATAAACTTAATTTCTCACAATGCAGTTTGGTTCAAATTTTATTATGCCATTTGTCTGTCCTAACCTGGATGATCCATATTATATACGGGATTGAACTGAAGATGGTAGAGAAAGCCAGGGAAGCTGTCAGGCAAAAAGCCTTTCCTTTCAGTTTTCTTCCCTTGTAAAACACATGCTTGTTCTCTCCTCTGCTCTTTCCTCCTTAATGTTCAGTCAGTCCAATATGTACATCTACAGGTCAGCTCTGTATATGTATCATTCCAAGCATGGAGTTGCCCAGAAGGTTGTGTTATAATTGTTGTCTAGCCAAAATTAATTCTGGATCACTGGAGCAGTCACTTCTTTAATTAAGGTGCTGAAACCGCAGGCAGTGCTACTGTGTCTTGTGTTGTTCAGCACATTTGCAAAGCTATTGACCTGGTGACCATAGTTTTGAACCATTACCCCCCATGCCCATCTCTGCCTTGCTTCTGTTTCACCTCCGTGATCTCTGCGCCTTCCACTGACACCACATCATTGGAGCAGCGCCTTGTGACATGCAGACCCAGCTCTGCCATTCACAGAAGTCTTGATGTGCATTTGCAGTTCTTTCTCTCCCCCAAGATTTGCAGCTTCTGAGCTGTAGGATTTCGGCTAACAAGTTTTGAATGGGACATTTGCATACTACCTTGTAACAAATAAAAAATCAGGCAAGATTCTGACCTGAGCACCTTCCTCTCCCAAAATACTGCATGGGCTGTTTCTCAGTATAATGCTACTCGTTGCTCTAGTTCTCAAGAAATGGGAGTGGGCCAGGGCTTCGAAGTCTGTGTAGTAAAGCTATGGCTTGAAAAGTACAGCTTTGTGGCTAGGACTGACTCCCTGCCATGCTCCCACTGAATTATCTGGGGTAAAATAGCTGAATTACAATCTGTGTTACACTAGACAGCAGAAGGCAAAAACTACCCTTCCTCTCAAACACTGGCAGCAAAAAGGCTTAAGAAGGGCTGCCTTTCGGTTGCAAGGTGAAAAAACGAAGAGGAGGACCCAAGCCATGGTGGCCCACATGCTAGCAGTTCCTGAATGGCACAGGTCAAGGGAGCTCACGCAAGGGCTCCTGATGACTGATCTTGTACTGGGAATGCGTGTTCCTGTCATGCATTCAGGGGTGTGGGAATCAGGATTGTTGTAGTCCAGTGCATCTGGAGGGCCCCAGTTTGGGGAAGGTTGTCCTTTGGCCTCCTACATTGATCTCCCCATGTAAATCACAGCGATTCACTATTACAGGGAAAATAGAGCCTCGTATCTGAGGATAATGCTGCCTTGAATGCAAAACCTTGGAGATGAATAACTTGTATATTGTATATTCCATCCCTTTTTTCTCCTTGCGTACCCCATACATCATGACTAGTAGATCAGTAATTTTATCTAATAATGATACTCTATTGCACTTGAGATTGAAGTAGTGAAAACATTATAGATATTATAGCCGAGTTGTTATCTGAAATTAGGAAAAACAGTGTGCATGTGCACCATGCACACACAGACAGACTCACAGAGCTTCCTTGAGTGTTCTGCATGACCTCCACCCACTCGTCCATCTCAGTGTTTATTTACTTCCTCTGGAATTAACAGTCAATACACTTGTGTTTTCTAGATAGTCAGGAAAAAGTATAAATGGGAGGAAGAAAAGACTGAGAAGGGTGAAGACTGAATCAATTTAATATATTTTGCACTATATAGCTTCTTAATTTAGAGTCATATCTGAGGAATTACCTGAAAATATAATCTGTATCTAATAAGGACATGGAAATTGAGTATATTCCCGTTTGTAGTACATAGTCATATTCAGTATGAAACTGCAGTGCTGTTAGATATTCGGTTGCTCTTGAATTAACATCTATGAAATCAAACTTTCTGGAAGCACATGGGTTCTTTACATATGTGGTATATTTCTGTTCTTTCTACTGGATACCATGAACTATCAAAAATATGGCATTTGTTGACATTCCAAGACAACTTTTGTGAATGCCCCAAAGTGTTTTCCTTCTTTGTAGTGCTAGAAAGTCCATGCCCAACAGGGTGCTGTACACTGTTTTCTTCCTTCTTCCTTTGGGCAGGACCACATTTCTCTTCATACTCTAAGAGAAAGTGAACTAGGAAAGCAGCTGAATGATACAGTTGGAATTTAGCTGTATGCTGCCCAGAGAGCTTCGGCTATTGGGTGGTAGAGAAATTATTTTTTTTAATCATATTAAGGATGCAGTCCATGCAAATTTAAAGAAAAAAGTCCCGCAGTCCTACTTTTGCCCTAAATGATACCAAAATGCAGCACCTTGTTTTCTTTAAAATAGCAAAGTTGTTCTATTGACATTTGCTAAATCATGAAATATTAGTAACTGTTAATAATGACTATATACAATTCTATAGAATTGTGTTGAAAAACTACTAAAATGCTCTGTAATAGGCATGTGGAACATCCCTATCATGTATACATACAGATATTGACACAGATGGTATAGCTATAGATGTTACAATTACAGATACAGATAGGGCATGCCCATATGATAAATAAATAGCAGCTTCCTATGTTACAGCAGAAAAAATACTTTTAAATGGCCAGCATTTATTTGCAAGTATGTTGGCGCATCCACTAGATTCGTTGAGTTCATGTTACAATTGTTGGCATGTTTGTTTATAGAATGGTGTCAAATTTGTGTATAGATCTCAGAGGATGGCATATATATATATATAGGAAATTAACAACTTCAGTAGCAGTTGCGGTAATATGAAGAAGCATTTTGGAATCTTGGGATCTTGGAATTACAATTTCAGACTAAAAGTTAGAAAAAGAAATGGCTACTCTGTAAAGTTACCTTTCACCCCAGCCTGGAAATAGATCTGGTAATAGCCAGACTTTATGTTTTCAAAAATGAAGCTTACCTGCTGCTACTTTGTTTCAAAATCCTAGGTGTAAGTTGAGTCTTGCAATACCTACCCTGGCTAGTTCATTCAGACTACAATCTTGAGACTTGGTTTTAAACATACAGCTCATAGCCACAACATCTGGCTCAGTCTTTCTCTTTTTTCTTCCCCTCATTACTCTGCTTTCCACGCCACATAAGCTGTTCAAGAGTGCTGCAGAGCTCAAAAGTTTGCTTTGTGTTTTTTTGAGATTTCCATTGCTCCCAGTAAAGGGCAATATTCCATGCTGCCCATGTGCCACCAGAACCCAGCTCTGATGCTTGATTTAAGTATTAGTGGTATGTAGCTACCGCTTCCCAGTGCAAGGAGCGGTAGCTACAGACCGCGGTAGCTTCCACAGAAATGTGCTGAAATGGAACTGGTCGTTTCTGAAGTTACTCTAGGACAGTGGTGGCGAATCTATGGCACGCGTGCTGCAGTGGGCACACAGAGCCCTCTCTGTCGGCACATGAGCCAAGTCACCCCAGCATCACCCCAGCAGCCAAGCATCGGGTAGCAGCGCACATGCGCATGCTCAGGAAGGAGTAGTGGCGCCAGGCGATGATGTCACGAGCTGCGACTCATTAGATGCGACTTGTCCGAGCTTTCACATGGCTGGTCAGTGTGCTGCCAAGGAGAGGGAGAGAGGGAGGGAGGGAGGGAGATGTTTATATCATTGAGAGCTCTATTATTGCATTTTTCTTTTCAGACAAAAGACATTTATGTATGAGTTGTTTCTTCTAAACTAAAACCTCGTATTCAGGTTTTATTGCAGTGTTGGCACTTTGCAATAAATAAGTAGGTTTTGTGTTGCAGTTTGGGCACTCGGTCTCTTAAAGGTTCACCATCACTGCTCTAGGAAGTGTTAGGCTTGCCTTGCCCCAGTGGATCCTTCTGATGCAACATAATCAATGGAGGCTCCAAAGGGAGTTTTGGATACTGACCAAGGATACTGACCAAATTCTGTGCTAAACACAGAATTTTGGAATAGCAATCGCTGTTTTGATGGTCTCCATCACCAGTTAGATGTAATAAGATGTTTTCTGTTACATGTTTCAAGCATGGGTAATGTGTCTTGATATTTCAAAGAGGTCTTTTTCATATATGATGAGGAAAAGAAATGGTGCACAAAAAATGAAGGCATGTAATGAACATTTTTTTCCAATTTTTGGTTACAGCTTTGGTTAACACACCTTAATGTTTTTATCTAATGTATTAGAAAAGAGATATAATGAATTTACTGAT